GGGGGGGGGGGGGCGGTAACATTTTCAGGCCACTATCTGAGGTCTGAAGAGTGAGAAGCAGTCATAGGTGGGATGGACAGTGTCAGAAAACTGCAGGGGCAAGAGTGACAGCGAGACAACCAACAGATTAATTAAAGGCTGAGCAACAAGTTGTCAGAAGTGGCTGAGATTTGCTCTGCAGGAAGAAAAGACAGCAATGGCTCAGCTGCCAGGAAAGATATACAGTCTCCTTCAATCGGCTCCTGTGCTGGAAGAACAGGTACCTTCTTTGTGTGCACACGCACCCCCGCTACCATTCAACACGGCCGCACCTGCCTCTCAAATCCTGTTTCCCTGAAGTGCATGAGGGAAGGAGATAAATATTGGTGGAGTGCGAGCTAAGTGTACCAGAGGCAGTCTGGGATGCAGCTCGTGATGAGTGAGCACAGCCATGGGCCTGCAGGACGGGGTATCCCCAAATGTCCTGCACTCCCCCAGATGTGCTTCAGAGAAATGACAGCTTCGTATTGCTGCACACGCTTCACACAACAGTGTCTGTGGCTATTTTTTTTTTGCAGCCCTTGCATCTGTCAAGGCCGGGGACTCGGCGGTTAGGAGTGTAAGAGCAAAGGGCACAGCAAGAGCTGTGAGAACCACTCACCACAACTTCCCTTTACCCCTTTTGCCACAGCTTTCCCTTGAAAAGGCTGAAAGGAATAAATTCTCCTCCCACTCCTACATATCACTGCTGCAAGACAGAGGAGAGATAAATGAGTGGCCCTTCCCTTGTACAACCCCTGCTATTGCTATGCTAGAGAAGTTTTCAACACTCTCAGTCTTAAACCATCATTAAATTCAAAACAAGAGCATCTGCAAAGAGGGGGCATCTGGTCCCCTCACGGTAGCTACATATAAGACATCTAAATCAAATTCCCCTGACTTCTGGGAGCATTCAAAGCGTAGGCTACGGATCATGCTTCATACCGGCAAGCCTCGACTCTCACCAAAATGTCCTCCGTGAATGCTGCTTTTCCATTCACCTGGCTTTACGCAGCCCAGACTCTCAAGAGCTAAATTAATCCTGAATCTAGTATCAGTCTTCATCACTTCACTGATGATGATATACCCTAGGAATCTTGGCAGCTAGTGCAGCCACATACATGGCTTGGCATATATTGCTCTGGTTGAAAATATACGCAGTTTTTTCTCATGAACATATAGGATCATGCTCACAAAATGCATTTGGTCTGTGCTACTGAACCAGATGAAGTCAGTTGACTAGATATATATATTTTTGAGACATACCAGGTTCTATCACATTATGAAATGAGTTGAGTTGCATGGAGCGTATACTGATTGGGAAATGCAGCAGGAGCAATGGTACACGACACACATAAAATGCCAGAAATTTAAGTTATGGAAAATGGTCTACATCAGATCATTTTCAAAAGGAATCTGAATCTGAACACATGGGTTTGTCCAGCTTTGGCTTCAGTGTCCCATCAACTAGATCGTTAACACTGATAATGTTTTTTTATATATATACATGGGGCAATAGGGGCAGCTATTTCATCACCAAAAGAAAATCTGGTATTAGCAAAACCAGCTTTAGAATGACTAATGATTAATTATTGCATTTTTCAGAGAGATCACTTGAGACAATGGATGCAGATCTTTAAAAAAAAAACTTTGCTGAGAAATATACAGTCCCATCCTTGTTCTTCAGACATCTCAAACTGTGCTCTTCATTTCTTGTACTAACATCCACCTACAACTGATATGACTGTGACCAAGTTACACCAGAACTAAGGTTTTGTTTTTATGAGCAAGTCTTTGCTTATATATGTTCTCATGACAGTAATTAGCAGCGGTGATTAGAAAACATCTGGACTTTTTCCGGACTTTTGAGGCACTAAGCATCAATTAAGCAGTGACTCAGAATTTTCTCATGATAGTATGACAAAAAAAATCAGAATACCAGTGAATGAATGAATTTAATTCTGCAGATTCAAAGATTTATTCAGCAACTTCTTCATTCTAACATTTAACATTTGTCTTCCCCCCCCAGCTACCTTATTAAAATCATTGTCCTGTATTTGTGTCTGTCAAGTGCCAGACACTGTGACAGTGCTATATAATAACAATGTCTTTATCATCATCATCATTATTATTATTATTTTCAGGAGGATCAAGTGCAAGAACAAAGTGCTGAGGAACAAGGCAGTCATTGCTATACATAAAACAGCCAGGAGCAAGGAAGCTGTAAGTGAAAGCAACAGTATAATTGACTGGTATTAATGACCGGACACTGTGAAGAGAGAGCAGCCTGGTTAATCAATTGAGAGACTGTTCTGAGTTTTCATAAATACCTTTCTGAAAGCTGCAACCTCTCATTGCTAAATCTACAACATTTGTATTGTCTCTCTCAATCATGAAGTACAGTCTGGTGCTCACATAACTCCACTTGGATCAATATTAAATAGCTCCTAATGGATTTTTTAAAAAGTCAAGTATTGCTGCTCTATTTCTGAAGCACCTGCAGTCTGAAATGCCAAAAGGAAAATGCTAAATCAGAATTCGTTCCCTTCTGCATCCTCACTCCCTCTGCCTTGCTGCATCATAATGAACTGCAGAATAAGTTTCCCTGAACAGTTTCCCCCCCCACTCTGAGAAACAAAAATACAAAATGGAAATATTTCAATGCATATAAACTCCAAGTAACACAGATCAGCTGTGGTCAGAAAGTGAATGCACAGAAAGCAGACCTCAAATGACTGGGTGGGAAGAGAAGGTTTTCAAATTATTAAAAAAACAAAGAAAAAGAAACCTCCAAAACAAGTCCAGTTGCACAAATAAATATATATTAAAAAAAACCAAAAAAAAAACAACTTACCGGAGCAAAGATCACCATACACATTTACAAAAGGATTTATAATCCAACTTCCTTCTCCTGAAATAAAGCAAAGGTTGTCTCATACTAAAAATCAAGGCACCCAAAAGCTTCTCACAGTCGAGAGAGCACCAGCTCCTTGTCTCTCTTTTTATGAAGCAAATAAGGAGAGCAAGAAAATCAATGCTGAGAGAAAGTGAGATGATATACCAATCAGGCAGCAGCCACAGCCTTATTTGCAGAGGGATGGCAAAATGGTCATATTATTAGACAATGACTACACGCCATCTAAGTAGAGAAATCTAATACTTTCCCCTTGGTGAGAAGCTGATTGCTTTGTTGTGGTGTAGTTACCACCATAGTGTGCTATGCCCATTACTTACTATTGAAAAGGCAAGGTAGCTTTCTATATAGGAACATACTACAGGAAAGAAGCCTTCTCTGCGCTATGCCAGGCTTCTGCCAAGCCTAAAGACTGAGTCAGATCAAGGACATTTAAAACCAGTACTCGAGAAGTCACAAGGACATGAAGAAGGGAAAGGGAAGTATTTGAGAAGAATCCAGTGGGGCCACACTAGCATCTTTAAATATCTCTGTCTTCGCACAAGTGCCTTCTGCAGATCTTTACGGCGTCTAAGATACACGGATCGGAGGGCCCGATTCTGAAAAGGTGCGAAGAGCTCTCAATGGGTGTGGAGGTTACCCTGCGGGTCTGAGCCCACAGGATGCTTAAGTCAAACATATTTTCATGTTTCTACAGGTTTCCTTTAGTAAAGAGAAGTAGAAAGGTCTATCCCAAGCTTTATCCAAAAAGTGGAACATTTATTTTGCAGTTGTGGCAAGTGGATAAAGCATAGGCAGAGGGGTGGGGATAGCAAGAAGGCATGTTAATTTAATTTGACAAGTGTGTAGTGACCAGCTCTTGAACTGGACGTGTGACACATCCGGGGAATGAGGTGTACGGTTCCCCTGACTCTCAAAGCAAAATCTAACCCCTCCTCCCCCCCAGAACTTTGCCCAAGCATAAACTGCCCATATGTGCTCCTTCTCACCGTGAAATACGAGACTCAAGAAAACCAGCCTGTATTATTTGAACTTCAAGAGATGAACACTTTCATATTCCTCCCCAGGTTTTCGCACCGCACTGAAGCCTTGAGAGGTTGAGAGGTATAAAATGCTTCCGCATCCTGTTCTTTTTCTGTGTAAAGACCTTATTTTATTGTCTAGCTCACCAGCCTTTCATCTTGAGTTGTCATTTCCTGTGTGCAAGGTGCTATCACATTAGGATGGTGTTGTGCATGGACTTGGACAATGGATGACCCTTCTGCACTGCCTTTTGTATCTCTCCCCTGTTGTGTGTGGTATTATCATCCTTTTCCCCCTCTGTATCTGAATGGGCTCCTCAGGAGACGCTGAAACAATCACACACCACGCAAATGTTCACGTGGAAAAGCACAAGGCAAAATAATTTGGTAAAACAGTCCCTTTTATATGAGGGCAACTGTTACCGTTGCAGAGAAAAACAGCAGCTGGATGCCAGCAAAAATCGGCACGGCAAAACCTGGCCTTTCCAAAGACAAAGAGATGAAAAGTCCTGGCCTGGGAAGGGCAACGCATTGGAGTATTTTTTGTTCCACCAGTGCAACCCTGTCGAGACCCTACAGGTTTAATGGAGAGCAGAATTTGACCTTGACTTGATTTTGTTTTTATGCTGATTGTAAAACCCTATTAACCTCAATAGAGGGACATCAGGGGTGTGAGAAGACTTCTCTTGGGGAAGACAGTCTAGAGGACAAAATGAAGGAGGCTACATACCTAGGTTGGTTAGATTTGGCAGCTCCAGTCTTGCCATTTCCCACAGCAGACTTCAAGCAAGCTCCCACCTAAATAAATGGCCCAATAGTTTGTTGTTGGGGCAGGTATTTCCCCTACAAAACCCTTCCATGTGATGCATCCACATTGACTGACAGCACCATCTTGACCACTGCCATTTTTGAAGACATGGCTCTCAAAAGCTTCCTAATTTTAACCCTGACCAATGGCACAATTATGGGAAACCTCCACGCAAACAAAGCACTCTCCTAGGAGAGGCTCTCAGCATAGTTTCAGTGCTTCTGTAAGCACAAAATGTGCCACCTGAGTCGAACAGACATGTATTTCTTTAGGGTGAGAGCAGTATGTGTTAGGGAACGACTGCACCCATCCTCCTCTACCCATGGGAGTTTAGCCTCCCTCTACTCTCTCTTTTCTTCTTTCCATCTCTGAAAAACAGAGGGAAGCACTAGTTGTAGGACAGAGATTTTACATGAAAACACCCTCAATGAATTATGGGAGGTGCAATAATAAACTGTGTAACAGCAACTGAGGTCCAGTGCCAAAGAGATTAACAAATGAATGCACATAAGCCAATGCATATATGGTGTTAGATACGTTTTGAGATGATGCACTCCAGATAAACAATTAAACTTTCAGCTGAGAGCTGTTGCTTCGTGCTTTTTTCCAGTCTTTTATGAACAACACTGTTTTCTTACTGGTGTGAAAACTTCTCACACGTTATGGTGACCAGCATTTTGCAGTTGCACATCAGCTGACCATACTCTTTATACCACCCCTTTACTGCTTTACATCTGGATTATAAATAGCAGCTGTACAGTTCTTATTACCTAAAAGTACATTGGCATCTTCTGCAAACATTGCAAAAATACTCTTTAAATGATTATGCAAAGGAAACGACAGAATTTATCCTCACCTATCCTTATGCAATCCCACAGAAAACCTGGAACACAAGTCACCTTGTTGAATTGCAACATAACAGAGAAGGCGCAAAGTACACGGCAAGTTGTAGCATTTGATATCATGAAAATTTATTTAGGAGCTATACCATATATTTCTTTTCTAGCAATAAGGCTTAGACTTGGTCATTCAACTAGAGCAGAGCCTGTTTTTTTCATAAGCCATGTGACCCCAAAGGTCCTATTAAATACAATCAAAGAGACAGACACAGTCGTTGCAGGGCCACGCATGCCATCGACTCCAGGATGCGGCAACTCCTGCAGCACTGCAAGAGAAACATGGACCTACAACTCAGTGGGTTTGTGTGAATAGTCTTCATTCATTTTCAGACACATCCAACTCATCAGGGGATGAATATACGAAGAAACAACGGACATCTTTAAGGATAAATTCTGGGACAGCTTCTTACAACCTCTATGTTGGCTGTAAGTTCTTAATCCTGTACAGAAATGTCTTATTCCATATTTTTAGACAGGGAATTTTCAAAGTAGCCAGTAAGTCCTGTCTTGGGTGGCCTTTCCTTGCCTGTCTTTACACTGGGCGGGGGGTGGGAAAATCGTGAAACCGTGTCATATTTGAAATGTTAGGCCTGAAGCAGCTCAGATGCGCTCTGCTGACCTCACCTCTGGCTAGTTTCCCCAGATCTAAGTTGCAGCACAAGTAAAAAGCAGCAGTAACATCAATCAAAGATTTCACTGAGGCTACAAGATCCTTATTCGAGCTCTTGTCCCTCCTGGGAATCTCCCTGCCTGGAGCATGTGCAGTTTCACACCAAAGGTCTTATTTCAGGATGGGGCAAGGCTTAGATGGCAGGGTCCTTAGAGCACGTTCAGACTGACATCTTTTGAACTCACTGGGAGCCTTATCAATGATTTCAACGGAGTTGGGATAATAGCAAACCTCGCTTCAGTGCTGAACACAGGCAGCCCCATCTCACAGTCTCTCTCCTGGACACCCTGGGTGCAGGGCAGATACATGGGAGAATCCCCAATATATTTGTAACAAATAGCATCTTATTTAAGCAGGTCTGGTCTGGAGCCATGTGGGCTGACCTCTCCACCTCCACCACTGAAATAAATGGGCAGAAG